AAAAGTAGTCTGTGAGTATAAATTTAGCATTTACGGAAGATGTTTTTTTATTTTATTTTAACAATTTTTTAATTTAGAAATTATTTTAAAGAAATTTATAAATGAAAAAATCATAAGTACGTTCTGATACTCTTAGAATTCTAAAAATGATAATTTTTATAAATCTGGAATATTGAAACAAAATAATGGTAAAAGTAAATTACATATGTACTGTATATTATGAAAATTAGCTCGATTAAACTAATATTTTAAAGAAATTACATGTAATTAAAATTTGATTATATAAAACAATAAATGTGTAATATGTACCGATTTAATATTTATGTTTTAAGAATAAGTCTAAGAAGTTTTGTAGAAAATTGTAGAAAAGTAATATAAAATGTTATTATCATATGATTATTAGATTGAAAATTTTTACATAAATTCATATTCCTTAAAAAAACTGAAATTTTGGTTTATACACTAAATATTATAGTAAGCATTATATTTTAGACATTTTTTTCATATTATACGCTTTGTGTAATTTTTACATTATGTACTTACGTGCAATTTCTTGTAAATACATAGAAATCTGCAGTCTAATAATTATGACAGTTGTAATAGTTATTAAAATAATTATAATAAATGTTATTCTAAACGATCATAACAATTTTTGAAACATCCAAGAAAACATAAATAAGATAAAAAGACAATTGAAGGAATATGAAATCAATTGTTAATGTGATAAATTTTGAAAATGCACTTTTCTAAAAGATGCTTTCTTATAAAAGGTGTAACTTATTGCGTTTCTTCCATGTAATGATTTCATTGTTGAAAAGTCATTTGTTACATACTTACCCACGTTTAATTGTTTCAATAATTGAAGGACCTCATTCTGAAACTTTTCCAACGCATCCATCCTTTTCTTTAAGATAGTTATAGTGTCATCGTTATTTTTAAACCAATGACCTATCGAAGAAAATGAGGGAAATGATGGTAAAGACCACGAGTAATCGAAACGTGGAAATTCCTTTACATCGTAGTAAAGTGGCTTTGTGATTTGGTGTATTTCAGTCTCAGGTGATTGTTTGTAATAGGAAAGTGATCTAGCTGAAATTCAAACAATGTAATTTGACTTAAAAAGAAATTAAAATTTCTAATTTTTTTCATTGTTTAAGCATCATTGTTTAATTTTCTCGTAACAAATTGATTTATGATAAAATGATTCTTCTAATATTGTTCACAATTTTATAATATTGGAAAATATCTTGAATAAAGTCCCAAGTTTTATGAAATTCTAATATTAATATTAAATATGTAATATATATTTTCTTACATACATTAAATATTTAACATTAATATTAATTTGATATTATAAAACATAATATTATCCAATATTGTAAAATAATTAATTATATAATTATATAATTATATAATAATAATATATAATTATATTAATATTAATATTAAAATTCAAAATCTTAGGCTTTATAATTAAAAAATTAAACAATGTAAAATCTAAATTTTTATAACTTCTAATGTTCAATAATATCAATTAGAATCCTTTTTAAAAATTCTTCTCTGCTGTATTTTTTAATATAAGTAGTATCAACAATCTTTCGGTAGATTTCTTTCATCTAATCTCTCGTTGATCATAATTAAGTCAAAAGTTTAATTTACCAATTGAATTTGAATTTTTCAATCAAATATAAATTATGATAAATCGTATTTCTATTGCTTCGTATAATTTCAATAGTAATTTTTAATAGTGTATTATCATTTCAGAAACGTATGAGTCATTGAATATCAATGAATTGTTGAATTATTGAGCATATCGTGGTTTTCAATCGCAAAAATATACGATAAATCATAAGATAATCGATTTTACGTCTAAATTAAATGATGAAAATGTATTTCTTGGTTTTAACCGAGTATGTAAATGATTCATGTTGCTTGATTGCGCGGTAAGCATTCTTAGAATGGTTAAAAACGTCACGATTTAAAATTATTAAATTGCATTCCAGCATTTATGGTATTGCATTGTACTTCAATTATTATACAAGTTAATAAAGTTACTAATTTAAGGAAAATTCTAAAGACAAATACAAAATTTTTATTAATATTGTAAGGGAATATAATATAACATAATGTTGCTTAAGTTATTATATTTATTACTATCATCATTGCTAAAACTATTGCCATTTTTTTTCTTGCTTTGGACATTATTGTCAAGCAATTTAACTTTCACTTTCTTTGCCAAACAATTCAATTTTCACTTTTTTCACTGAATTTCAACAAAGAAAGTGAAATCAAAAATAACCTAACCGAAAGATAAGAAAATTTTTAAATTTACGTGTTTTATAAAATAATTGCTCGAATAATAAAATTAATAGTCATGCCAAAAAGGATAATTAAAATTACTCACTACAGAATATTTTTCTTTTTCTTTTAAATCTCTATCTCTAAAATGAAATTTACAGATTATTATTTACAGATTATTATTTTTCGTTTTCTTTTCTTTAAATTAAAGTTTCTTAAGAATATTAGCGTGCAAGAATTAAATTTATATTAAATTAAATCTAATTTATACTGAATTGATGAAAAAATTGTCAAAAAAGAAGAAAGAAAAAAATGTTGCAAATATCTATTTTAAATTATTATTAATAAATACTAATAATTACTAACTCCTTAAAAAGTTAACTGAATTTTAGAGAACTGTGGTAAAAAGAAATATCATTTTTATATTAAAAAGAAATATCATTTATATTATACAATATATACACATATAATGTACATT